GGTTTTGTCGTGCCACGGGAATGACTAGCACATAGAGTCCAGAATGATTAGCACATAGAGTCCAGAATGACTTAGCACATAGAGTCCGGAATGACTAGCACATAGAGTCCGGAATGACTAGCACACAGAGTCCGGAATGACTAGCACACAGAGTACGGAATGACTAGCACACAGAGTCCGGAATGACTGGCACACAGAGTCCGGAATGACTAGCACACAGAGTCCGGAATGACTAGCACACAGAGTACGGAATGACTAGCACATAGAGTCCAGAATGACTAGCACATAGAGTCCGGAATGACTAGCACATAGAGTCCGGAATGAGAGTACGAAATGACTAGCACATAGAGTACAGAATGACTAGCACATATTGCAAAGGAAACCTTTACCTTTACCTTTACCTTTACCTTTAGATGTAACTTCAGAAGAACCACAGACAACTGGAGAGCCTCCAACTCCAGCCCTGGAGTTGCTTATCAACGAAATTAACGCGGACAATCCTGGCTTTCGAGAAGACACGGAATACATTGAGCTCTTCTACCCAGGACATGCACCGTTTTCACTCAAGAATTACTGGCTCGTTCTGTACAACGGCAAGAACAACTTAGCTTACCAAGTCTTGAACCTGACGGGCTACTCAACCAACGAGCAGGGCTACTTCCTGGTAGGGAGTGCTGGAGTGACCCCCAAGCCTTCGCTCCTCTTGCCAGATTCCACCATCCAAAATGGCGTAGACGCGGTGGGGCTCTACCGCAGCGCCAACCCTGTCTATAAAAATGACATGCAGGTGACAGTCGACGGGCTGGTTGATGCCGTGGTGTACCGAGCTCGTGGTGCACAGAAAGCGGACAAGCTCGTGGCTCTTCTCACTCCTGGGCAGCATGTCCTCCATGAAAATGACTCTCATAGCACCGAGGACGAGTCCCTCAGCCGATGCCTCAGCCTGAAGACCAGAGATCCCAAGAGCTTCCAGGTAAAATGGCAGAAGGGTTGAGTAAGAGGAGCCACAGAGATCAGCCAAGGGTCCATTTCGGCTTGCTCTTTTTTTATTTTTTACTCCATCTTGGTTATGTTTATCAAACGCACCAAGACCCAATTTGCTTTAACGAAGGTCGTTGAGTCAACCATAATTGACCGGGCTAATGATATATGTGATGAATGATATATGTTATGAGGAGCAGTGGTTAGAGTGCAGTACTGCAGGCTACTTTCTGCTGACTGCCGTCTGCCAGCAGTATGGCAGATCGAATCTCACCAGGCTCAAGGTTGATTTGGCCTTCCATCCTTCTGAGGTGGGTAAAATGAGGACCCAGATTGTTGGGGGCAAGAGGCTGACTCTGTAAACTTCTTACAGAGAGCTGTAAAAGCACTATGAACCGGTATATAAGTGCTATTGCTATTTTCCTTCCTTCCTTCCTTCCTTCCTTCCTTCCTTCCTTCCTTCCTTCCTTCCTTCCTTCNTATTCTATATTCTATTCTCTGTTCTGTTCTCTAGTCTATACTGTGCTGTGCTGTGCTATTCTATTCGCTATGTTATCCTACCTATGCTATCCTATCCTACTTTCAGACTTGCAAGATTCTGTTAATGCGGATTCTATTAACTGCAAAAATCCTGATCCTTTGCAACCGAGAGGAAGGGTGTAAACGCATTAAGCAAACCAAGTAGAGATAAAAGCCTTATAAAAGTAGAAATAAAAACCGTATAACCTTATATCTCTTATCTCTTCCTTTCATCTTTCTCCTGTGCCTTTTGTAAGATTGCCAACTGAAACCTCAGGACGAAAGCACGATACAGAGAGTTTTGGCCCAGTCTCTGGAGAAACGATGCAACTGCAGTTTTTCCCCAGCGTATTTCAAAGGTAAGCTATGTGGTACATTTCTCTTGGAGTGCTTCAACCCCTGTGGTTTAAAAAAAGCCACAGTAGAAAGAGACAACGAAGACGATGGTTCCAGGTTTTTACAAAACCATCCAAGTAAGATCCTTACTGGAGACACAGTGGCTCAGTGGCTAAGACCCTGAGCTTATCGATCAGAAACATTGGCAGTTCAGCGGTTTGAATCCCTAGCGTCGCGTAACGAAGTGAGCTCCCGTTACATGTCCCAGCTTCTGACAACCTAGCAGTTCAAAAGCATGCAAGTAGAAAAATAGAACCACCTTTGGTGGGAAGGTAACAGCGTTCCATGCACCTTCAATGTTTAGTCATGCCGGCCACATGAACAGGGAGACGTCTTCGGACAGTGCTGGCTCTTCGGCTTTCAAACGGAGATGAGCACCGCCTCCTAGAGTTGGGAACAACTAGCACATATGTGTGAGGGGAACCTTTACCTTTATCTTAAGACCCTTACCAAGCTCACAAAGGCAGTTAAGGTGTCACTGGATAAACGAACAAATGTGTGGAAAATGTCGTAACACGATGGCTGAAAAAAAAGGGAAAGAAAATTTGTTGGTGTCCTTTCATGGCTTAATCTGTGGCAGAGAAGAAGATCAGTTGGCTGGTTCATTGAATTGTGCAAACGAATAGTCTGAATGTAATAAATCAGTTGATGAAACAGCCGCTTGCGTTTATTTACTTTATTATGGTTTGGGTTACTCCCTGATCTTCTCGTGTGTGTTGAGTATAGGTCACAAAATGTAAAAAAAAGAGAAGAAGAAATGAAATTTAGAAGAGATTCAGATCGATGCTAATAGGTAGCGAAAGTTATTTGGGAAAGAAATTTGTACAGATTGAGGCCAACAATGAGATTTTCCTTTCGCTCCTCTCGTAACGCAGATCCTGTTTTAACCTGTGAAGGCAGAGAAATGACTTTCACTGCCGTCATGAGTGCCCGGTCAACAGACCAGCTGGACCGTGAGTTGCAGTCCCTCTCAATGATGGAGAAGAGTGAAGAACGGTTTCGTTTTGGAAACCAGAACAACAGTATGGCGATGAAGACTTGTTCAAGCAGTGCAGAAGGGACAGGCACACCTCCAGGTATGGTAGTCCGGAATGACTAGCACATAGAATCCGGAATGACTAGCACATAGAGTCCGGAATGACTAGCACACAGAGTCTGGAATGACTAGCACATAGAGTCCGGAATGACTAGCACACAGAGTCCGGAATGACTAGCACATAGAGTCCGGAATGACTAGCACACAGAGTCCGGAATGACTAGCACACAGAGTCCGGAATGACTAGCACATAGAGTCCGGACTAGCACATAGAGTCCAGAATGACTAGCACATAGAGTCCGGAATGACTAGCACACAGAGTCCGGAATGACTAGCACACAGAGTCCGGAATGACTGGCACACAGAGTCCGGAATGACTAGCACACAGAGTCCGGAATGACTAGCACACAGAGTACGGAATGACTAGCACACAGAGTCCGGAATGACTGGCACACAGAGTCCGGAATGACTAGCACACAGAGTCCGGAATGACTAGCACACAGAGTACGGAATGACTAGCACACAGAGTCCGGAATGACTAGCACACAGAGTACGGAATGACTAGCACACAGAGTACGGAATGACT